AATTTGATTGTAAAGAGTTGTCATTTTGAAAATTTCTGTTGAAATTTTTAAAGGAACCTTACTCTTTATATAATGATTTGAGGTTCCCAATTTGTCCTATCATGGTATGGTTTTAAAAGATTTCCATTTGCTGGGGTACGAAGTACTTTTCCATCTAATTCTCTCAATTTATAAGATCCATTTATCAAGATTTGATGGATATAATACGGTCCTTTCCACTTTGGGTTTAGTTTGCCTGACCATTGTTTGTCCTTGGCTGCATCATAATATAAAACTTTATCTCCAATTTCAAATTGATACAGGTTTTTAATTTGTGCATCATGACGATTCTTTTGTTTTTGTTGTGCAATCGTTATACGATTTTTAGCAATTTCTCTAGTTTGGGGTAATTGATCAACTAGATTTTGTAAATGTGATGTCATTGTAACATTTAAATCATCAGGATCGTCCAAAGGTAATGTTACATTTCTTCCATATGTTACAAAGAAAGGAGATAACCTTGTGACTGAATGTTTACTTGTACGATAGGCAAACAAAGTTGGTGCTATTTGCAAATCCCAATTATCTAAATCTTGTGCTGTTTTTGCTAAAGATTCACATAGAGTACGGTTGAATCTTTCAACTAATCCATTTGTTTGTGGATGATACGGCGTTGATAACAAATGTTTAATCTTAAATTTTTCCATCAGTTCTTTGATCATTTGATTATTAAAATGAGTTCCACGATCAGAAAGAATCTTTACAGGGCATCCATGTCGACAAATAATGTCCTCATATAAGAATAGAGCGACTTGGTCAGCTGTAGCTTCAGGAACAGCTTTAGCTTCAGGCCATTTTGTAAAATAATCAATGGCAACAATAATGTACTTATTTCTTTTAGATGTAATCGGTAGTGGTCCAACAAAATCTATTCCAATTTGATAAAAAGGTGCTTGGACTGGTATAGGATGTAATTCTTCGTGTTTCTTGGGTTTGCCTCTTCTTTGACAACTATCACAAGAGCGTACATATTCTCTTATATTTTCATATAACTGAGGCCAGTAGTATCGTTCTCTAATTTTATCAAACATTATGTCTACTGCAAAATGTCCAGCAGTTGGATCGTTGTGCATCATATATAGGACTGCTTCCATTTCATGTGATCTAATAACTCTTAAATATTTTTCATTGATTTTCTTGTATAAATAATTATTTTTAATTTCGAAATATTTTGATTGTTTAATTAATTTTTGTTGTTGTTGAAGTGTAAAGTCATTTGGAAAGGTTTGGGTGGTTAAATAATTAAAGAGGTTGTTATATTGAGGTATGTCCATTTTGAGCTGTTTGTCACACTGCAAACACTTATGCTTTCACTCAGAATAAACGTATAGATGAATAAATAAAATATTTAATAAGAAGAAGAGAATGAAATGTTCATCATTTCATAGAGTTGATTATAGATATTTTCCTGTTTAACCTCTTCAGGTTCTTCCCACCATAAGTCATTGATTAGATATGTAGGGTTCATGTCGGGTTGGATTTTTCCAGGCTCAAATCCAATAATGCAATCATGTTCTATAATTCCATATGACAAATTCTTCTTACATGCTTTGCAATAAGTATGTAAATGATGGTTCTCAATATCACAAGTAGAGGTACATTGCGATCCTCCTTTAGTTATGGGTTGGTTTGCAATTACTTGTTTTATTTTGATATTTTCACGATAGATGTTTTCCATTTCATCTTTGGTGCATTTATAACCAACAGCAGTAATTAATGGAGCATGCGAGAACTGTTGAACTAACTCCTCTTCAAACCATTTATCTTCATCATTTTGTAAAGTAGAAGATTGATGCCATTCTACTTCAGATTCAGAAGGAGTTTCTTCATTTTCAATTGTTAACATGAAACATTCAGATACTGAATCTTTTGGATTAATTCTAGATAGAGCATCAGCATTGGCATTTAATTTTCCTGGTCTATGCTTGATTTCAAAATTATATTGCTGGAGTTCCATTATCCATCGTGCTCGTCGTCCTTTTGGAATTTTTGATGTTTGTAACCATTTTAAGGCAGAATGATCAGTAATAATAGTAAAGGGTTGAGAACTCAGATAATGATGAAAATATCTGACAGCCCAGACTACTGCAAGACATTCCTGGTCAGTAATTCCATAATTTTGTTCTGCTTTATTCATGCTTCTACTTGCATATGCAACGACATATTCTAATCCATTTTCTAATTTTTGGGAAAGAACAGCGCCTAATCCATTTCCAGATGCATCAGTGTACAAGATGAACGGCTTATTAAAGTTTGGATATTGTAGAATTGGGGCAGTGATTAACTTTTCTTTGAGAAAATCAAAAGCTTTTTGTTGAATATCAGTCCAAGAAAATGGTTCTTCCTTTTTTAGTAGTTGTGTTAGAGGTTTAGCAATTTTAGAGAATCCCGGAACAAATCTATGATAGTAGGAAAATAATCCTAGTGCAGATCTTAAACTAGTTAGATCGATGGGAACAGGGAAATTTTTAACTTTGTCAATTTTTGAAGGATCAGGTTGTAAACCATTACGTCCAACCACATGTCCCAAATATGTAATATTAGAAAGACAAAAGTGACATTTCTTTAATTTTATCATTAAATTAGCTTGTTTGATTGCCTGAAAAACTTTTCTG